GTGGAGCATTTAGCAGTTAAAGAGCCAGATATTTCTCTTAGGAGACGGTAGAGACCAAAACAGATCAACAGGTTGACACATAACTCATAATGAATGTTGCTTTATATCTGCTGAATGTGTAAATAAGCAGCTGTTTGCAACTATTTTACTTGAAAAGTGATAATATTACAATTTTACAACTGGCTTATGCTGCTCCCAAGTGGCCAAACAATCAGTTAATGCAAGTTGCAACTTCCTTTACAGGGATATATGATGAGCCCAGCTGCAACCCTAATAATCTGAGTCACGCGGTGCTGCTGGTTGGCTACGGGTCTGAAGGAGGTCAAGACTACTGGATCATCAAAAACAGGTCAGAAAAAAGCCTCTCCATATACAATAGCAAAGGCTGATTTATTAAACCTACATTTTTTGTGTTTTTTTTGTATTTTATTTGAATAAGCTGTTTTTTCTCTTTTAGTTGGGGTACCAGTTGGGGTGAAGGTGGCTTCATGCGAATCATCCGAGATGGCCGAAACACTTGTGGCATTGCGAGCTATGCTTTGTACCCTATTCTATGATTCTAATAAGACGGCTCAGTTGAGTGTTAATGCTAAACTCTTACACTGGACTGTCAGTGGGTCTCAAACAACATCAGTCATTTCTCATTTTGTCTCTAAAGCACCCCTGTCATCCTTATTTTCTGAACTTTCTGCTGAATCTTTCTCACACTGTAGATAATGTTGTGTGCAAAGACTCAAAACTCATATAAGCCTTTTACAGTGAATACATTGCTTCTCTCAGGGACGTAGTAGACAAACCAGCCTATGTGGCCAGATAGATTCAATTGGCCTTCCAAACATTTTATTAATTGGTCAAAACTCACAAAATATGAAAAACTTCAAATTGAAAAATCAAAGTGAGACAATGTAACTTTGTACAAAAGTAACATAATCTTAATTTATAAATGTAAAATTAAAGTAAAAAAAATTACATTCGTAATTTTGATGTAGCTTACGGTGGCTAATTTTGGTTAATGTTAGCAGACTTACTGTAGTGTACAACAGACGTGTTCTACTACTACTCTTCTCCACTTGTGCTACTTGTGTTACAGTAGCTTAGCATTTTAGCTAAAACTGTCAGCATTTAGCATCACCCCCTAAAAGCGCTGTCACACCAGCATTGAAAACGGCATAAATATGTGGTGAAATCAACTATTCCAATAGAATCGTCGCAATTATCAGATTTGCTTGCTGGGACATAATCACTCTGCACAAATATTGGGTTTACCTTTAGTAAACCAGCGAGTTTGTGCACTTAACCTGTAGCTAACCGTCCTGACCTCTGAGGGAATAGAGAGCTAGGGAGCCTACCAAATATTTTGCAAAGACATGAGAATTAATTTAGCTGTTTAACTTTCTGGTGTGACCAGACCTTAAAGGACCAGTATGTAACATTTAGGAGGATCTCTTATCAGAAATGCAATATAATATTCAAGGTACGTTTAGTGTAACACTGGCTGTAGATAGGGCCTTTCACTTTTTTCGTGAGTTCCGCAACCACCATAGTTTCTCCACACAGTTCGCAATTCACAGGTCATCAAATACAGACGCCAGCGGTGTCCAGTTAGTTTCAATCTGCAACATCACCAATAGATGCCACTAAATCCTACACACTGGTCCTTTAACTGTCACTTGTAGCCACAGTGGCTGCTGTTCCACAAGTTACATAGTCTTGCTTGAACAATGTGTTATAATTATTGATTAAATATTATGCAAGTACATTTTAAGTAAATCACGGTGGCCTGGTTGTGAATTTCACTGTTTGTTTTTAACCGTAATGTTATATCTTCAGACTGCAAAACTCTTTTGTTACAGTAACACTGTTGTACTGAAAACTGAAATATTGATAATGACATATTGAGAGGGGGAGGGATGAAGGAGTGGTGTTGGTATGAAGTGGTGGTGTTGGTGGGGGACACAAACCATGCAAATTAAAAATCTGACCCTGGTGGAATCAGTGTTTCAGGCCTCAACGTGTATCTGTTTGAGACAGAACAAATAAAATGGTGCTTGATATTTTCAATGCAAATAGATGTTTCAGTTTTTTCAGTGGCATATTCTTTCATATTTTTCTACCATTATAAACAATATTGTATCAATTACTTAGTGCATCAACTGGATTGTCTTGATTTCTGGACTGACTGATAATAAAGTGAACCATTTTATTCTAAGTGTGTTTGTCTCTGCACGTTGCATTGTTCAAGCAAACACAGTTCACATACATGCTCCACTGCCTCATAAAGACCTTAATGCCTGCAAGTTCAACCACACCTCACTGAACCTTGAACCTAACTGTGCACTGGCTTACATTCATCCACACTTACTGTTTCTCTGGACTTACTGCTGGAATCACATGGCTTTCTGAATAGCTCATAATGCAGCCGAATATATATTTGCTTTGCACTGTGGTATGGTTGTTTTTGCTTTGCTTTGCTCCAGTTTATCCCTCTACTGAGAAACATTCAAATGGTAGGCATGACAGACACAGTCAGATCCATCAGGAGACACAGGGAACAAAAAAGTTCTGTGATCCTTCCTTCAGCAACCAGACAGCAGGTGCTATCACTCAGGTAAGGCAGCTCTTTGTTGGGTTTTTGTCAGTGAGATTACAGCACATTCTCTGGTGTGTAGCAAGGTCATTTATTGTTACACTTGTTCTGATAAAGCTACTGTCACTATCAGACATGCATTTCATTTTGGCTCAGGAATAAAAAATCTTTTTACAGCTAAATCTTACTTAGAAGCGTATTCTCTTCATGTTTCTCTGTGTCTCCATGTCACACCCTGATTTACACCTCAGACCAGTGTATTTCCTTTGTTACAAATCCATCTGATACTGTATGTTATGAAGATTAAATTTGCATTTTCTTGCAGTTAATCACTTTGCAGCGTGATTACTTAGTGATAATAGTTTTCACCTAAGCAGGTCAGTGGAGTTGGAGTGTTTGCTTGTGTTAATTATCCCACAGTCGACTGTTCAGCTCTCTGTGTCTACAGAAGTGCAGCTCTGGCTTCTACAGAGAGCAGGCAGGACCATACAGGGGTCAGTGTGTGCCATGTAGCTGCAATGGACTATCCAATGAGTGTGATGAGCATACAGGGAACTGTGTGGTTGGTGTTCACACACACATACACATACACATAAACACTCAATGGCACATGTTCAATGGCTGATTTACAATACACTTAAAGCTTGTAGCATGTGTAGACCAAACTAGATGGAAAAAAACATGTTGTTCATTGTTGTGTTTCATCTAACTGATCTCCAGAACTGTCAATTCAATGCCATCTGGGACCGCTGTGAACGGTGTAAAGAGGGTTACTATGGAAACACAGCCAACAGTGCCTGCCAGGCCTGTCCATGTCCCTTTAAATGGAACAAGTCAGTCTCTTTTTCTTACCCAGCTCAGCCAAACTCAAATGATTTTTGCTCTGCATCAGTATGAAGATATTATTCCTTCTCTCTGTAGCTTTGCATTGGCCTGTCTGGACATCGGCTCAGGAGTGGTTGAATGCTTGTGTAAACGTGGTTACAGTGGAGCCAGATGTGAGAAGTACGTCTGCTCTTTAAGAAGTGACACATAACCAAAGCATCATTTACATTTCTAGATTATTATCAGTGTACCAAAACATTGCATCCTAATCCCTATTGTCCACTGCTAATGTAAATGTGAATTATATTCGCATGTAGGTGTGACAATAAGTGAGTCATTCTACGATTGCAGTACGATTTGAGTCCCTCTGACCTTGTTAAGTGTATTTTATCTATTGGGTGACTAAAATCTATTCTTAAAAGCTTTTTATATCAATTGAAATGTCCCCTTTAATAATGTGTAAAAACATTACATAAAATGTATCTTTATATTAGAAATGATCTTGTTTTTTCAATTGACACCACTTATTTTCCCATGTCCCTCATGGCCTTCAATGAAAGTGTACTTGGGATATGACTAATAAAAATGGAAAAAGGTCTAAAAATGTTGCCATTTAGACGTACTTCTATCTGTGCTCTTTTGTTGGTAATGTTTTGTTTTTTAAAAAAAATCATAATTATTCATTAAACTTCCATTATTTAGTTCCGTACCCAAGTAACCCCTCAACCCCGTTACACAAACCATTATCCCCCCCTAAAAATGATAAACCGATCCTTAAGTGGCATGAGCAACAGGATGTGACATCATAGAAGTCTTCTGAACAACATGGTGCAGAAACAGGCAACTTACTACCTTCTTTTCTAACTGTATTTCAGTCATTTATGTTGTGATGTTGTAGTCGTAAAGCATAACATTCTTATACCATATTGAATGTAAGGTAATCTTACAGTGAATTTGAGAGTAAAAAACAACTATTTATAGGTTACAACATAGTGTCCGTAACAGGGTTGATGACTAATATTGCACACACCATAAAATAATGACCAATAATAGTAGAGATTTGATGCCTGAGATGGGAATTTATGTTTTTCTAGAAGTTGAATATGTAGTTAATGTTATGGGGTGTTCAGAAAAGTCCTACATTTTGGTCAAAAATCTGAAATTGTCAAAGTCCACATTGTACCGCATTCGTGGAATGACCCAAATATAATCTAAGCTCAATGTCAGCCTCTTGTTTTTCCTCGCTTTATTAAGATGTGCATTTGGTTACTATGGTAATCCAGTGGTGCAAGGAGGCAGCTGCAAGCCCTGCAATTGCAAGGATAGCACCATGAACATTTGTGATTCTCTGACTGGAGGTAAATATACATTTTCACAGAAATACACACACATAAAGTTTATATACTGTAAAAAAGTCATAACCATCAGTTCTCTCATACACTGAATATTCTTATATTCACTATGTTTTGAAGGAGCATGTGATTTACTACTGGATTCCCATAAAGTTGAAGGACTCACAAGAGAAGTGAAGAGAAGAGATTTTAAAGTTAGAGAGATATCCTGACCTTTGGTCTCTAGTATGGGTCACAGTCCCAAAACAAAGCCTACATTTCCTACAATACAACCAATAGCATCTCTTTTGTCAGATGCTTTCTGCCTGATAAATACCCATATTAACTGCAGACAATTTGAAACTCAGTCTTTCTAGTATTCTTCTCAGACCTCAGAACCACAGAAGACATTTTAAAAGTAGGAGTAGTACTGTTCATGACTAGTAAACTGATCTTAATGTATTGAGATTTACTTTGATATCCCTTCCTTTTAATAGAGTGCATCACATCTGGTTGCAGCAGCTGTGGTGATCAGTGCCATAGTGAGTTTGCATTGAAAATTCATCGTATAATCGTGTTGATTGTAGTTAGAGTTACCCATAAAATCCTCCCCTTGTATTTACTGACAGAATGTGACAGCTGCAATCTCGCTTTACTGGTCGAGTTGGAAAATATGGACGATGCTCTGGCTTGGCTGAAGCAGCAGCTGCAGAACATCCTTAATGGTCCTGGTTCACTCTCCAGGCTGGTGGCTAACATCTCTGAAACCAAGGTGCAGTTCATGCAAGTTTGCCAAAAGAAAAAGATCTTCTGT